AGGAGTTATGTACCATCGGTGCACAGGTAAGGGCCATTGACTGAGATGACCAATATATATATATATATATATATCAAATACGTAGCGTTACGTTATGTTTGTACACCTACTTTATTAGTATTGAGTCAGGGTTCAAGTGTGGGAATCACTCACCAGTATTTTAAAAAAAAAAATTTCTGTTTTATTCCCTAATAAAACACTAGTGTTAGTGATTCACAGATATTAAATTGACCCTATTAGTATATAGAAAACTAGGTGTTGCAGTTGGAGTGGCCGCTGTTGATGACAAAAGGATAAAAAAAAAACCAATTGAGATGGTTTGGTCATGTGTAAAGAAAGTCTTGGGAAGAGTCGGTGAGAATAGTTGATCAAACAGTATGAAGTCCTCTAAAAAGGAGTAAAAGAAAGCTGAAGACAACGCTTAATGAAGTCATTGAGCGAGATCTTTCCATTAACAATATGTCCAAAGATTTGGCTTTAGATAGAGCTCAATAGTATCATACAATTCATGTAGTCGACTCCACCTAATGGGATAAGACTTTGTTGTTGTTAAATTATATTGAATCAAAGTTTAAAAATTAGATTTTAGCTAAGTTAAATCTATATGGGCCGAATGATTAATTTTTCTAAACAAATTTTGATGTTAATTTAACTGTGGGAGTTCCCAATCTCTCTATCATTAAACCCTATCTTTAACAAGGCACATCAAACAAGTCAAATTATTTGACTTTCTATTTATCAGATATTTTTCCTGCTCCAAATTAAAGCAGAATCCGTTCAAATATCAATATATGTAATACCTATGACCAATTAATATGTGCTTCTGTCTACATATATTTATCAGGTTGCAGATTTTGGACTCGCTAGATTGCTACGAGAGCCCTCTATCATGACTCAAGTGCTGGGAACTACGGGGTCAGTCTTAATCTTTTAGTTAAGTACATGGATTCGCACTGGATTTGTATTCAGTAGTGCTTATTTCAATATTTATGAAATTCTGAAATTTCATCGATATGAGCGGCAATTACTCTGAGAAGTCAGATATATTCTCCTTTGGCATTGTGCTTTTAGAGCTGATTACAGGACGAAAACCTGTTGATGATCCTGAGAAGTAACCGAAAGGCAGTTTATGAGTGGGTCTGTACTGTACTACTTAAAAATATTTCTCTTTTATACAACATCTTACTAGCTATTATATGTTCCTTGATCGATAAGTTATCTTATTTATGGATGCAACTGAAAATTAATATCAGGATGCTGGATGCTACTTTGCGCTTGTTTTAATTTGTTTGTTTTGATGACTTGATTGATAGAAGAGTGATAACTGTAGTGGGCTGACACACACACACACACGTTAAAAATCACGGGCGACAACGCTGTTGTCGGAAGCTTTGGAGAACAGAAACTTTGAAGAGTTTGCTGATGCAAGGTTGCAGAGAAAGTATGACCCGGGAGAGATGTTTCGAATGGTTTCTTGTGCTGCTAATTGCGTTCGCCATTCAGCCGAGCGTCGTCCTCGAATGAGCCAGGTTAGTGCCCATAAATTATAAAATTTTTGTTTCCCTTTCAAAGAAATTTATTAGGATTGGATTCTCTTATGAAATTGATTTTTTTTTAGAAAGTATGCTAATATATATATATATATATATAAATATATAAATATAAGGGAGTCGTTGATGTAAAACAAATCATATATGAAAATGGGATAATTAATATATAAATCCTTACAGTTTCAACTGGTTTTTAATCAGGTCCCTATAATTTTTTTTCTTTTTATCAGATGCTTATACTTTCATATATTTTTAATCAAGTCCTTATAATTTTTTTTCTTTTTATCAGGTCCTTATTGTTTTACTTTGTTTTTAATTAGGTCCTTCTAGTTTTTATTCTTTATTTTACAAATAATAACATTTTAAACATAATAAATTATTGTAACAATCTTATGTTAATATTCTTTTAAATTTTTAGTTAAACAAATATATTATTTATTTTCAATTCAAATTTTTATAATTATAAAATTCAAATTATAATAATAAATTTTTCTAAAATTAAAATATGATTATAAATAATTTATATTTAAGTATAATTATTATTCTGATTATTTATTAATTACTAAATGATTATATTAATTATTTTTTCCAATTATATAATTATTAATTTATAAATGAAATTAATTTTAAAGAATAAAGTTAATAAATAATATTTCAAAAACTACAAAGCACCTAATTAAAAAAATAAGTAAAACTATAAGGACCTGATAAAAAGAAAAAAAAATAGAAGGACCTAATTAAAAACACAAGAAAGTAAAAGGATTTGATAAAAAGAAAAAATTTTATAAGGATCTAATTAAAAATTAGATGAAACTATAAGGACCTGAAGATTAATTATCTCTATGAAAATCATTAAACCAAACTAAGCATCCAATCCTACCATTTACAGAGCAGTACGCAGTGGATGACTTAAACGTATAAATATCCATCGCCATAGTTATGTGATTGGGAGTAGTAAACCTCAGATCGCTTGTGATCTCTAGTAGGGATAACTGACACATGGTTATCACTTAGAAAGTATTCTTCACCCTTTTTATAAGGTATTTGTTCGTTTAGTTTCAAGGAGTATTAAATATGTTTTCCACAAATGCCCATATTATAAAAGTAGCATGGGAGAGAGTAAAAATTAATATGATGATGGAGTTTAGTGCAGTAAATAATGATAATGTTGGATTGGCAAAAAGAAAATAATGATAATATTAGAAATCATTTAAATTTTTTTTAACTATTTTAATCAAGGACAAAACTTGGGTCCAGTACCTTAGGTCCATTAGGTTCAGTTAGCCAACCAAATGTTGCCACCTCAATTATTTTTACACATAGCACTTAATCCCATCAAACTGCAGCTAGCGCACCAAAGTTTCTTCCTCTCCTTTGTGTAATTGTTTTAACCTAAAGACTTCACAGAAAAGTCCCCTTTCCTCCTCCTCTGCTTTCACCGGCAATGGCGCTACCCACTGCCGAAGAGAAATTCTGAGTTCATCCATGGCATGGTAACTCTCCCTTACTATTGGAACACTGCCACCCCTCTTCTTCTCTGCCTTATTCCCTAACTTGCTCCCATACAGACTAGACACTCTCACAACTCTTGGCTAGCGTCGCGGTACTCGCAGGCTTTTGATTATCCTTCCGTAATGTTGTGGCTGAGAAATCTAACACAGATCGACCAAGAACAGAGTATCCTCTGCATAACCCATTTGTTTGGCTTGCACCATTCCTTTCTCTCTCCGAACTCAAACGAAACTGGACTAGTTTCACCAAAAAAGGAGTCACTAATTTTGGGTTGGGTTCTAGACAATCAAACTCTTGTTGTTGCTGAGTAATGAACTTGAGTCAAAGGTTTGATTCTCTAGATCAAGCCTCAAGGAAAGTGGGTGGTCGGAGTTGTAGAGGGGTCAAGGGCGTGGAGAAAAGATCGAAGGGTGCGTTGGAGAGAGAGGCGTTGCTGCTCTTTAGTTATAATGTTTTTTTTTGTTGGGCCACAGCTCTTTAGTTACAATGTTGATGGAAGGGAGAAGTTTTGGTAGGATAACGGTGGTTTAACAATGTTAAGTGCTGATGCGTGAAACTAATTGAGGTGGCAGTATTTGGTTGGCTAACTGGACCTAATGGACCTCTGGACCTAAGTTTTGTCCTTAATCAATATGTGTGAATTAGTTAGATTTTTTTCCCACCGTGAATTATTTAGAAAAGATTTAGACGAGAGAGTATAACGCAGTCAAAATAAAAGAATGTCAGGGATTACGGTGATCGCGGTTGGGAAAAATAAAGTCATCACCAACCAATCAATGAACTCTCAAGAGGAGCTAGCGAATTAGATTTATGATATGTCACGATCCTACTTAGTCTAGTCATAACCTTAATAACTTTTCTTAGTTATTTTAGGTCACTTTATATTTTTAATAATTATTCCTTCTTTATTTTCCTATATTTCTTACTCAATAGTAGACTTTTATAGAATAATTATTTTCCTGAGGCTTTAACTAAATATTTATGCCTCTCAAACATCTTATAAATTTGTAGCTACAAAATTTGGGATATTACAAATATTATTGTATTCACAATGTTATTGAATATGAAGGAATTAACTATCTTGAATAGCTACAATAAAAATGATTTAACTGATTCACAGGCATCTAAATCATATCATATTTGCCCAAACTATGGATACGCAATGTATTAACTCTTGCGCCTCCAAAAAGTAGTGTGGTGACGCAAAGTATGGCATGCACAACAGCCAACACAAAGATGATATAGTGATTCTAGCTAGTGACAATAGTAGAATCTTCCCCTGCTTTGCCAAACACACAACCAACCAATATATTATAGAGAGGTATCCTGGTTTAGCGAGTTCAATTTCAAAATCAAAACACACGCAAGGAATCTCACCAAACTGATTTGTTTGATACTATTATTATTTCTCACTAAGCACATGTTTGAAAATAAAGTCAACACAAACAGCAAACATAAATAGAGAGAGAGAGGTATTCTAACATTTCTGGGTTTTTCATTTTTTTTTTTTAAAACCCGAACTACATTGAGAAACAGTGAATATACATGCTGCTGTAAGAAATTCATGGTCATGATTAAACATGGATTATCGTCCTTAAAATTATAGTCTAGTCTTTCAAATGCAATAGGGATGGCACGAAAACAAACAACAATAAGTATCATTAGATAAAAGTTGAAAGCCAACGATGAAACAAAACTGCATTTAAAGAGATAAGAAGGAATAAAAATGACGTTCAATACCATGGTGAATGTGGTCATTGTTTATTATTTATTATTAGGTAGATATTCAAAAAGGTAACATGACAGTGTGTCATCATATTCATATTTTAATACTGAACCAATGAGCATGAACTATAATGGCCTGCTTACAAATATGTAAACCGCAATACAGGTCATTTTAGACAATGCTAAGCAGCTACTATATACCAACTAACACCCTTTTTTTCATTGGAATATTTGAAAGAATTGGCATTCAACGCTTAATTTTGTTAATATCAAATGTTATTTTGAAGCACAACGAACTGCAATCGGGAAGATCACCAAAGACAAGTATAAAATGAAGTTTATATCTCTGGTTGCAATTTGAAATAACTCATCAGATTAAAATGAATGAACACTAACTAAAGTTAGAGGCTAATGAATACAAGGTTTTGCTTTTTCTCGTGACGGGTAATAAGAAGATTGTTGCATTGAAGTAACATTTATGCAGAGTATGTACGAAGCTTGATTGCTATATATTACCAATCCTCGGCTAAGCATCTCTGATTTCTTTGATTTCTTCATGGCATAAATCTCTCCAGTACTTTTAGCACGACATAACCTCAACTGCATTATATAAAAATGCCACGAACAAAACAAACTATTAGAATCCTAAATTTGTAATGCAATCTATCTTCATTGCGCACCTCGCCAAAGGCACCTTTTCTAATTACAGTTTAACTGCTCCAAGTCATCAATTCTAACTTTACGTCTCTGCAGTCTCATATATTCAGTCTCTTGATGCTCAAAATTCCGCATCATTACCTCATTTTCTTCAGCTGAAATTTGTGCTTCTCATGCCTGCCTTAGAAGCGTTTTATGTCTGAAACAAAAGCATAATTTATTGAAGTAAACCTTATAGTTTATTTGCTTTGACTTTTTTAAGTTGAATTGATAATTATAAAATCTAAGCTCATACATCCTGAACACCATCATGAATAAGGTGTTGAAGAAAACCCCTTTACACCCATAGTACTCTGTCATTTGACCTCTGATTATTGCTTCCACCATCAAAGCCAGATTTGATATAGAATTAAAGACCCGAATAGAGAAAACAACAATCGATGATATAATCAGCAAGAGAATGATTGAGCTGAAATTTAAAACATCATTCGATTAAACACATTAACAATGTCTGAAAGTTTTTTTCCTCCGGAAGAAGCAGAACAATAAAATACACAAAGACAAAAGGCAACATCAAAACTATGAGGAAGACTAAAGAGAGTATGTAGAAAAGTGAAAGGAAGAAGAAGGCTTGGATTTACCTGTAGGCTTCACTCCAGAAGCACTCCCTGCCGTATATGAGAGTTATCGGCATCAGAGGCAGCAAACTGAAGGCCCCAGAGTTGGTTTATAAGCGAAGAAGAAAGAGTAATGATTCCCCTGGGAAATTGAGGAGGAGGGGGGAAGGGATGTGGAGAAATAGAATTAAAAACGCAATTGAAAAGCAGGGAGTTAAAAGTGAAGAATGGATTTGATTTGGAAAGGAAAAGGTACGGGTAGGGGAAATTTTCAAATTTAAGACTGAAATGAAAAAGAGAGAAAGGGTAAGGGTGAGGGGAATTTCAAAATTTGAAATTCAAATCAAAGCACTCAACAAAAGTATCCAGAAAATCTGCACCACAGAGATACACCATACATTTTTCTCAAAGCACATCATTGTAGCATGGCAGCCCCCGTCCAAAACAAGCGTGGATAACCATCTTTTGTGCGCACGTAGCCCAACGCGCACCCAGTACTGTTTATAGAACAGCGAAAATAGAGAGGAGCCGACAATGGTGGCTCGGCTTCTCTCATCGTTTCATCCTTATCCTCTTCAGATCTCATGCACCACTCTCTCCACACTGCACATTCTCCCTTTTCGAAATGACGGTGGGGAGGCAGAGAAACCGAGGCACCAGTCGACGAGGGTAGCAGATCTACGAGATAATGCACCAGTCGATGAGGAGATAATACCGTCACATTCTTCCAACTCTCTTTGCTGGTGAACGGCGGAAGAACACGATAGGGCTTAGGAATGATGGAGGCAAAGTCGATGATTGCAAGAAGATGGAGTCGAGTTTGCGAGGCTCCTGTTCAACGCGTGGCCGACTGTGATGCTGGAGGTGAATTTTTCTCTGTTATTATCTCGTGTTCTGGGCATTGATCTGGTATTCCATTTTTGTTTTCTCACCATTTGCAAATCTGGTTGATCTGGTCTTCCATATCTGTTATTATCTCACCATTTAAGAGATAAAAGAAAGCAAACGATCATCCGAAGGATTTTCAGAGTCACACTACCCACTGCAATCCGCCGAACCGATCAGACAAACATGACCGAAGAACACTAATAGTGGTATAAATATCATCTAAATTGCTTCGTATTATTTTTCATCTAATAAAAGAACAGTATCCCTCTTTTTTACTTCTGTGGTTGCAGACCAAACCCAATTTATGCGAGGCCAAGGGGAGTTTTTGGTAACTTCCAAACCATGATTTCAAAAACATTTTTTGATAAAACGAGACAAATTCTTTTACATATTTATTTCGTGAACTGTAAAAACACTTCTGAAACTATGGTTTGGTTTCTATCCAAACACCTCCCAAATATCACACAGTTAAGATCTATAATCCCAAACCCACATTTTCCTGCTTACTGAGACCAAATATTACTCATTTAAGATCTTGAATATATAGCTTAAGATTAATTTTATATGCCTGTTTTTTTTCCGACCTTCATCTTGTTAGAATGGCTGATCACCCAAGAGGGGGTGAATTGGGTGTTAATTAAAATCAAAAACCTTTTCGCAATGTAATAAATTCATAAGAAATTCTGAATATAAAAACAATGAATCGACATAAGTATAATCACAGTAGTAAAATGGTTTAGCTGGAAATATAAAAAGGTAAGGGAAGAGAAGATGCAAACTGTGATTTATCCTGGTTCGGTCCTCACTGACCTACGTCCAGTCCCCAGGCTCCCCCTGAGATTTTCAATCGACTATCTCCCTCAAGTTTAACACGGGTACTTGAGAACCACTACAACCACAAGTTTGATCCGGGCACTTGTGACGCCACTTACAATCCTTAGACTAACCAGTCTATTCAACAGTAACCTCACACCGAGGTAAATACTCCCCCTTACTCACCGTAAGGATACAATCTAATAATGATAATGAAGATTGAATATTTCTTCTCTCAAAGAAGTGATAGATGAATCTTAAGCACGTTTGGGAAACTCTCCTCTCTATCTTACGAATACATAAGTTTTAATCTATGAAGTACAGAGACAGGGAGTTTTCTTTCGGAGCTCTAAATGAGAATATTGATTCGGCATTTTAGCACTTGATGTTGTAAGCTCGGACTCTTCTTTTTTTCTTGTTTTGAATGCTCTTCTATTTATAGATGATGTTGGGTAGTTGACCGTTGAGCTTTTTCTTCCCGTTTGGCTTGAAGAATATGACCGTTGAAACTAGCCGTTGGAAGCTTCTGACGAACGTCGATTCTTCACATCATAAATTCGTTGTGGCTCTTTACCTGAAATAATCTTCCTCAGATCAAGTGATAAGTATCTGATAATCATAGAAACAATAAGTTGGAAAACATGGAATCAATCATCAGATATTCAGAAAGTAAGATGAACTTACTTGATCGATGTCTTGATCGATAAAGCTTTGATCGATTATATTATCGATTAATTACATGAAGAAAAGATATAGCAGATAGATGCAATTATCGAATAGATTATGGATCATATGATGATCGAACAAATGATCGATAAATGATGAAGCATGAATACAGTGACCCAAAAATGATTTATGCAAGAATAAACCTTTTCAAGTTACGTTTGCCTTCGTGTCTTTTCGATAAAGAGTTATATGTTAAAAGAAGGCTGAGAAAAGCTTGAAAGAAAATAGATCATTGATTTTAAGAATCATCATAGTCGACTGATGTTTAAACGGAAAACGTTCCATGATCGAACAAGTGATCGAACACTTGTTGATCGAACAGATTATCGATAATCCAAGTGTTACAGAAATGAAACTTCAGTCATTGATGATCGAACAAATTATCGATAAATGGATGATGGATAAGGTTATCGATAAACAATGAGTAAGAATATATTCAGCGAAAAACAAGACTATATGGATTAATCGAACAGGTGATCGATCAATGAATATTCGATCAAGTGATCGATAAAATGAAAAAAGAGATTTAATCCTGTAAGGTAAAGAAACTGATTATCGATCACGTTATGTGAAAACAGGAGTTTCAAGATGATCGATTAGGTGATCGAAAAAATGATTCAACATGAGTTAATGCAGTGAAGATAATAATCGATCATTTGATTGATAAATGTTTGATCGATCAATTGATCGATAAAAGATTTTGAACGAATGGTTTTGACAGAGCACTATATCGAGTAAGAAGACATGTAATATTCGAACAAGTTATCGATAAAGGTCTGATCGATTAAGTGATCGATTATTCCCGCAACATCTTATATTAAGCAGCTATACCAATGATCGAATAGTTGATCGATCAATCTAGCAAGTTATTGAGCAGACTAAATTATCTATCACGTGATCGATAAAACCTTGACAGTTATCGATCAAGTGATCGATAAACATATTCATCAATAACGTTATCCAAAATCATTTATCCAACATGTTACTGATAAAACCTTAATAATATGTATGAAGATAAAAGAGAAGAATTGAGGAGATAGTACCAGTAACTCGATGAGTTGTAGTCGCTTGATCAGGCTCGAGTAACATATGATAATGGCTTTTCATTTCTTCATCTCTTCTAGAGCTTTTACTCAATAACATGTTTGAGTAGCATGTTGCTTGAGAAGTTAATTGTTCAGTGTAGAACTTCTGGTCTTTGCCTCAATAAATTCGAAGTCTGATTCCAGCAAAACGAAGGTCAACTTTGAGTGATCATAACTCTTCCAATTCAACTCAAATTTTGCAAATGACTATCCCCAGAAAGATCTTTGAGTCTACTTTCTAATCAACAAGAATCACCCCAAAATTCGTTGTGGTTGCAAAGTTATCTTCATCACAATGACTAAAGGTCGGAATAAAGGCGTTAATCCTTACTGCAATCTTTCGAACAACATATCTCCCTCATATGAAACTCTTTGAAGGTGAATTTGGTGTCCATGAACCGTGTTCTGAGTCTAGTTTCATAGGAATCAAGTTTCACCTCAAACGGATTTGTGGTTTAGAGATATTGAAGAAATACCGAACCTATGTCAGAGCTGAACGAAGAACAGAGCATAACAGAGGATGCATTTTATCGATAACTTGATCGATAAATGGATGATCGATCAAGTGATCGATAATTGCCCATGAAAATCACCTCTGAAGCTTATTTTCCATGTTTATATGAAGGGTGACTCAATATATGATGGTATAACTTCCCGGTTGTATATTTTAGCTTCCGACTGAGCCATCCAAACTTCTGATTGAGTATAGCAATTTAACATCAAATCTATGAACTTGAATCTTGATATTTCCATTTGATCTTGCAAGTTCTTCTTTTCTCAATCTCTCTTCTTCTTCCTCTTGATCATTCTCCATAACTCAAAGTGCAACATAATAACTCTTTCTTTTCTTGAGAAAACTACACAAGATATTAAGTATGATAGTTAGTCAAAATATGAGATAAATAATTTATGTAAACTTTTTGCTCTATTATTTGACATCATCAAAACTAATCATATCTAACATTCTCCCCCTTTTTGATGATGGCAAATCCTTTGTGAAAAATATGGATGATATGAAATCAAATCAGATGCAACATATTTTTAATGCCTATCTCTCCCCCTATTTGACATCAGCAAAAAGTTTAAATGATATAGCTCCCGTGTGGGGTGTAATCTTTCCCCTATATCATTCTTGTCTCTTAGTGCACACAAACCATGTAATGCATCAATATTCATAAATTATAAAGGAGAGGGTTTAGAAATGCTCATTTGAATTCGGCAAGTTGATAAATTGATTCATGAAGTCCATTGCCAGGCATAATGCTCATTCGTATTGGCATTGGTGATTATGCTTTGAAGGTTGATGCCAATAATCTTTCTATCTTCAATCACTTTCTCTTTTCTCCATATCTTGATTGCGCATTAAATTATCAATCCTCAAATTGGATAATTTATTCTGTAGTCCAGTGAGGAGTTTCTTTCATAGCATAAATTCTCCTGTTAAGAATTCAACAACTTCTTGCAAGGAGAATAGTTAGTACAATCAAATATCAAATGTATACATAATCCTTTCTATAAATTGTTTTCGAATTGGATCATGAAAGGAAAATGTGAAAGCAACTCATCATCAAAACTAATCAATTGACAGTGAATGCAGATGAGTATACTATTTTGACGAAGGAGATGAGCTTTTAAGATATAAGACACATGTGAATGTGAAGTTCCCCTTTAATCAGAAAATTGATAGGGTGGAGACTAAGAATGATCGAATAAGAATAGTTGAAACACAATGCATAATTATAGATCACGTTAAAGCAATTGATCAAATATGTTATGAATAATTTTTTTTTGTAGTGAGAAGTCATACCTGTCTAAGTTGATCGATCATGTGATCGATTAACAGTTATTCGATCAATTAATCGATAATTCTTACCAAATTGAGTGATGTGTTCAAATCTTGTTGCTCGATC